CTGTGGTTCAGGAGCAGGGTGAAAGGACAGTTTGTGCCTGGTTCCCCTCCCAGGTCTGTAATGGAGCAGCAGGACTTTTTCAGGCAGACAGGGAGCAGCAGCTCTCGACACAGACAGATCCTAACAGCAGGGCAGCCCCAACTGCTGTCAGCATCCTGACACCCGTATGGCACCCGCAGCCCCTCGGCCACCCACATGTCCCGTGGTTCAGGAGCAGGGTGAAAGGACAGTTTGTGCCTGGTTCCCCTCCCAGGTCTGTAATGGAGCAGCAGGACTTTTTCAGGCAGACAGGGAGCAGCAGCTCTCGACACAGACAGATCCTAACAGCAGGGCAGCCCCAACTGCTGTCAGCATCCTGACACCCGTATGGCACCCGCAGCCCCTCGGCCACCCACATGTCCCACCCCAGGGCCTAGGGCAAACCGAAGGACTCCCACATCCCAAGCCGCTGCCGTGGGGCATGCAGGGTCTGGGGCTGACAGCCGAGCTCGGCTTCCCAATTTCAGCTTCCCCCATGCCCTAAGGGGCAGACAGAGAGATGGGACCCCCGGGAAGGCACCCTACCGCTGGCAGCCCTGGGTACCACCAGCTGCAGTGCCCAGGCTGTGCAAACAGTCCCACCGCTCGCACAAATCACAGCGCGGGAAGCGTTTGTATCTCCACATCACGGCCAATGCCACTTGTTTACTCTGTCACCAACAGGTCCATTTTTCTTTCTTTCTTTTTTTTTTTTCTTTGGACACACAGGTGTCCAAAGCCCCACTCCCAGCCCCTCCCAGCAGCCTCAGAATCCCCCATGCTCACAGTGGAAGTTGTTTCTCTGTGGTTATCACGCACGTTTCCCTACCACGCTATCCCCTACTATGCTATTCCCACCTCTTCTGTTAGATTTAAGTCACTCCAAAGCTTCCTGAGCTGTCCAGCAGTCCTCACCTGCGTCCGTCCCCTGCCTGCTGGGGCCAGAGGTTTCCGAACAGCCCTGAGCGATAAAGGGAGCTGGGAGAGGCCAGCATGGATATTTAAGCATCACGGAGCGAGAAGGAGCCCTTCTGCAGAGCCACGTCCCTGCGCTTTGCTGGGAGAAAGAGCAGCAGGAGAGGCAGGATGCCCACAGCACTGGGACAGCGGCTGCCC